TTTCTTTCAAATAATAGAATAAAAAATTTTTAAAATTTTCTTGCAATTTTTTTATTCTAACTAAATATATTCATGAAAATATATTTTTTATCATTTTTTTCTTTTTACTTTATTTTTTATCATTTTTACTTTTCATCGTTCTTTTCTCCCTAACTAAACGAACCCAAGAGATAGGATGGTAATGGACAAAGAATAGATTCACCCAAGAGATAGGATGGTAATGGACGCAGAATAGATTCACCGCGTTACTATGATAACGCGAAAAACATGATTGTAAAAAGGATGGTAATGGACGAAAGTCAGGCTTGGCCAACTTTGGAAAGGAAAGGTCGAGTCCCACTCCCATGAAAAAGAGAAAGGTAAAACCTGATACATTGGTCCCCCAATATGATAAGGTTGAAAGCTATTTTAGTGTCATTACTATGAAACTCCTTTACAAACCTTTCTTTGTACTGTCTAACCAATTACAAGATATTCGGCGATGAGTGGCCGATGTATACTAGTCGATTTCGCCATATATCCAAATCATTTTCAACTTTTTGTTCAATTGAAAACAACTTCTTATTCCTGACATTTATCCTTTATTTTTTAAAAGATAAAGATGCAATATATTATTCTTTATCAAAAAAATTAAAGAATAATAAATACTAAAAAATATATATATTTCAATATACGAGACTTCTATCATTATGGAGTATAGAGAGTTAGTTGTACAAACAAATGTTGTGATAAAATGCGTTGACGGGCCTTAATTGGAAATCAAGAGACGGTAACACTAAAGATTTCGGATATTTTGTTGTGATTATTTTTTTTAGAACTTATTTGACTTTAATTAACATAGTCATACTTATCCTCTATTCAGTCCTCTTGTTCATCAAATTATTGTCATTAAATACATATTTTAAATTCTTTTTTTTTTGTATTACCTAGTTACTCCTACCATAAATATTGTCTATCATTGTTAATTTCAATGTTTTCAAATATAAAAACCCCTAACTTAGAAATTGTGCTAGCAATAAATTATTTTTTTATTTTATATATATAATAACATTAAACAGAAACACGCTCAACAAAAAAATAATAATATCAAACAGTAACATGGTCGATAAAAAATTTAATTATTGCAATAGAGTGACATCATATGTGAGTACTTATTTTGTTGTGGGGGTGTCACTCTATTACAATGATTAAATTTTTAATTAAGTTTTTTTTGAGATGTTACTATTTGATATTATTATTTTTTTTTTGAGCATGTTACTATTTTTTTATTGAACGTGTTATTGTTTAATGTTACTATATATATAAATATGATAGAAACATAATCTTAATGCTAACATAATTTTGAAGTTAAGAGTTGTTAATACTAATACAATTCTTAATTTATGAATTATTAGTTTTTTCAAACAAGTTTTGATTAAATATAATTATTGAGAATATTTTGGACAGTAAAGATCAAAATAAACTTATTCCCAAATAAATTTTTTGAGTATACTTAAATTCGAATAAGCCTACAAAAAAAGACCGGCCTCTAAAGAACCCCTATAATTTTACATTGTGTAAACATTGTTGTCTTGTTGGTTCTGAATTAGGCTTGCATGGTTTTGAAACGCAATTTACATTGACCGATTCGAAGTTTACACTTATAAAGCACTTCACACAATTCACCAATTGATGTGTGGATAAAATAAATGGATGGTGCCCGTTGAGTAATATAAGCTCAAGTCCACATCTAGGTGAATTATCAGTTGGTCGGCCCGAACTTCGGATAGGGGTAAGTTATCCGCAACCTAACCCACCAGTCACTGGGCGGGCTTGTTAGGCTGACCTTTATATATATATATATACATTTACAATTTCATTTAAAATATTTTTAACTTAATATTTGTTAAATTATATTTTTGAATTCAACTAGAGTCAAAATAGATAAAAAATAAATAATGAATAATTTATATAAATAAAGTAGAATCATATATTACCACTAAACTTTCAAAATTTTAATAATCAAGTTTTTTTCAAACAATTGGATGAGCAGCGGGCTAGGTGGGTAGGCTCATGGATCCAGTTTTGGATCGGGTAATAAGTTTGAGGATAAGTCTAAATCCCCTCTTGAAGGATATTTAGCTTGGACTCAATCAAGCTAATTTTTGAACCTATCAAACTTTAAACTTGTTTTTTTTAAGTCGAATAACGAAACTCGTACTTTCCGTTGGGTGGAGGGAAGACGGCATACAATAAATTTATTTATGTGGACCCAAGACACCAAAAACAGGCATCTAGAACTATACTATTCAAAGAGAGACAGCAACTTTTACTTAAGGGGACCGCTTGTATAATAAACTTATCGTCTTTTAAAGAGGCTGCCGAGACAAAACTAGCCATTCGATGTATTTATACAATAAAACAGAATATATTTGAATTTTATTTTAGTTATATTTTTTCTTTTATTATTATCATCAATTACTTATCTCACTCATCATCCCTTTATCATACTCAAACGTCAAATTACATCACTCATCCCTTTAATTATTTATATATTTCCTCCATAAAAATATCATATTACTCATTTCTATCATATATTTAATTATTTAATATTTGATTAATTTATAGTTAATATAGTTAAAAAAAATTTAATATAATTTAATCGATTTTTTAGACACTCGAATTTTATATTTTGTCGTATTTTCGGGTACGGGTAATGACTAGTCCATTTATAAGCAAAAGAATATATACTAGAATTAAAGAGCAACAGATATTTGGGTCCGTTATCAGAAATACGATTCACTGTCTTGGCTATTTTGCGTCCGTGGGATGTTTCAGCCCTGAGGCCCCTGGTGGCATTGATCATGGATTCAGAATACATCGGGTTGTATAATCGCAAAACAATATTAGACAATATCTATGAAATATTATGTAAAATAACGAAAAATTGATGTAACATCGAAACATTACAAAATGATATCAATCAATTTAATGAAGCTGACTTGGACGACTCGACTGAAACGCTTGGTATTACTGACTTATGGGAAAAGGGACCGAATTGTACGGTTGTCGGCAAAGATTTTGTAACCATTGGGTCTCCCTTCGTTAAAGAGAATTTGTGCACTGATTTGAATTCGATATCACTATGTCAAGATCAAACAAGGAAAATTTCAAGGGTTAGCCTTGTAATAAACCTCTTATGAGAGACAGTTTAAAGGTTCAAATACCCCACAAAATGTAGGCTCTTGAGGTTACCACCACTCTCTTGTGTGGAGAGAAGATTTTGTATGAGGTCCAGTATTAATCATGTACGTGAGCGGAAAAACATCTAACAGGAAAGTAGGGATATAAAAAAAATTATACAAAAATTGTATTTTTCTTTTTTAACGGTATACAAAAATTGTGATGACATAACAGCTACTCAGTACTACATCCAGAAAAAGAACTATGCCCGTTACCAAAAAGGTCGGCTGGGCTGGCCCATGATTTCCTACATCTTGAGAAGAACTATGCCCGGCCTGTTAACGAAAAGGTATCCTGGCCTGGCCCATGACTCCAGAAAAGAACTGTGCCGTTACCGAAAAGGTGGCTGGGCGGGGCCTATGGGCCACGATCCTTTGATCAACTGCTATTCAAAATTTTGTGCACTTCATAGACAAAGACAATACTTCATAAACATGTATGCCGTGTGGAAGGGGTATCACCCTCCTCCACTGAGGATTCTGACGGACTTGAGTGCCTAGACCATTCAGTAGTCTTTATCTTTCGTCCCAGATAATTAGTGAGTACCTCTTTCATAATAAGTAAAGAATTATATGACAAGGGGAAGACGACTCTCGATGTGGGACGAGAGATAAAAGTTACTGAGTGATCTAGACATCTAGGTCAACCAGAATCCTTCGTAGAGGGTGATACCCTTACACCATGTCAAGAGAGGGCTTGGCAGGCATCACTCAATATTTTGAACAATGACTCATGAATCTTTCAGCAAATCCGTATTTAATTCTGGTTTCAAAAAGGCTTTTAAGCTGCCATGACAGAAAAAAGTGGTAGTACAACCCATTTCTTGAAGTCAATTTTTTTCTTGAGGAAATGTTTTTTTTTTTTTACTTAATTTAATGATCTTATTTTTTGAAATGAGATTGTGAATTTCAATTAATAATGAAATCCACTATCATTCTGTCCAAAAATAAAGTGAATGATAAGGTGAGGCTCAGAAGGTAACAATATGTCGTCCCCATGGTATAATAGCTCAGTTTATTGACTGTTGTTTCATTCAAATCTGCATAATCGAACGAAGCAAAAACTTCACACGACAAACAACTTTGAATATTATCTAAAAACTTATGCAGTAGAGAGATTATAATAGATATTCAAATCATATTTTTTCTATACTGAAATATGTAAATATATATACATAAAATAGAAGTGTTTAATATTTTGTAATTACTACCATATTTAATCAGATAATAACTAATAAAAAATAACTGTCAAAAAACTAACCGTTAGAACTTTAGGTATTCAAAAACTAAATTCTTAACATTTGAGTTATGACGGAAAATAATTATATAAAATATTAAAAAGTGATTTGTAAATTTTAGAAATTTGTATCTCCTCCGTTTGTCTCATTTTTACGCACGGGAGTTTCATGGTTTCAATTTAACACAAACGTTAAATAACACTAATATATATGAATATATGTATATATATATATATATATATACACACACACTCTCAAATAATTTAAAAATTTTAGTTAATGTGGAATTGAATTCCCACATAAAAAATACTGTTCTGTTTAAAGAATTCTAACACAATCTAATGACAAAAAATAATAAAATCAACAAATAAAGTCACTAAATAAGATTTATGTAGCATTTTTGTTTTCTTGATAGCTGTTTCCAAAAATATTTATCAGCAATTAGAAAGCGATTGATCTTTTCGGACACCTCTTTCATATCTAGCTTGACTTCCAAGTGTCATTATTCTTTTCGACATTTCCAAAACTTTCCATGTTCCATTTAAGGAGACCCAGTCTTCACAGTAACAGGAAACAGTCGTGATGGGACGAGCGGAGGAGATACGGAATATATTGTGACCCATATAGTAGTCCGTATCTCCTCCACTTGTGGCCCCGGCAACCGTTCTCTGCTCTCATTTGGAATCACATTAGACTCCAAATTAGCTCCCCTTCCTTTCCCACCATGGTCTTTTTTTCTTTCTTTTTCTTGGGAAATCCTTGAACTAACCTAGGATCATACAATGTTAAAAAAAAAAAAAAAAAACTAGGAACAAACAGATGTCTCATTCATAAACTTACACACAGGACATTTAGTGTCTCCTATTGTGCTTTTGGTTCCCAGAGTGCATTTCTAGAAACCTCTTCTTTTTTCTGGTAAGTAGCAACGTCTTATTTGGTAATGATTTCGTTCTATATTGTTGTTTAGTAGCATTGATATTTCAGAAAAAATTTTAGAAATTAAACTTTCATAGCAACAGCTAGCTCATCCAACGTAATCTGGCCATGAACATGTAGCAGTTTAATTTAATCATGGAGAGCAATTTTATGGTTTAAGGTTGCGAATATCGAGCATTGACTTGGATATCATTGAATAAGCAAAGAATGTCAGAATACCTTGAAAATGACGATAGTTTCATTTTATATCATGGAGTTGCAAATAATTTCAAGATAATACCCGCACAAAATACTAAATAGTAGAAGAATTTTGGACATGGCATAACACGGGGTTGATGAGGCTTAGCCAAGTTGTGTGAGATATTTTCGAGTCAATCGCCGGTCGAATGAAATTTTTTAATTTACACAAAATGTATATTCATACGATATGTATCTAGATATAACTTAACCGAACCGTACCAGTATTAATCAATACTTTTAAGCATGACAAATCTTTTGACGGAACCCTAGTTAGTTCTGGCCCAGTTTATGTGCCAACTTTTAGATGTCATGGCATAGAGGAAGAGGTATTACAACCCCCTTCCTGAAACCTTTTGTTGTTGACATCTTTTTTTTCCAGAAAGAAAGTGATCAAAATCTGTTTGGATGTCCCTATCATATCTTGCTTGACTTCAAACAGTCATTTTCCTATTGTTTTCGACATTTCCAAATACCTCGCCTGTTCCATATAAGGAGACCGAGTCCACAATAGTCTCTAATTTATTCATAATCTTCTGAGCTGGTTTATCATTGTGCGGAGATTTCACGAGACTATGCTCGACAAACAGATCGTTTATTTGGGGCATGCATTCTGTCGTTGCCTCTTCACTTTCATTACATCAAAAGGGATTTTCGCAAGTGTCTCAGTAAAATCTTCCATCTTTGCCATTTCCCAGCTATTGGACAGTGACCTGAAACATTATTAATCTGCTAATGATCGCTCAACTTTATCTTGATTTAATCATGTCAATACACTACTTCTGATCATTTCATTCGTTAGAACAAACGGAGACAAGCTTATTTGTTTGTCATGTGCCCATTCACCTCATGTGCCTCCGTTTGTTCCACATGGTGAAAGAGATGGGAAGGATTTTATCGACACAATGTCCGGCCGTGCACTCACTGGATTGTTTTTTGCGATAGAAGATGTCTTCGATTCTGTTCTCACTTGTACCTACTTGCACATAAACTAATTGGAAATGGTTTTTTTTTTTTAAAGTTAGTCTATGGAGCTATGGGATGATTAAGAAACTTTTGGGACCCACTTTTAGAATTCCATAAACAGAAAATTGATAGGTGTCTGTTATTTTCAAGGATTTGAAAACATATACATATTGGGAAACAAGGTCATTTGGGATCGATAAATATTGTAAATTAGGCGAAGTTTGATTCATATGTTGACAGTGAAACATTGGAAATACACTTCACCTGTTGAAATGAACGATCGAGCTGAACTACATAGATTTTAGTGTTTTATATTTTGTATTTCTTTTCGTTATTAGCTTGAGGGTGTCGTTGGTAAGAAATATGTAGAGGAAAACTAATACATAGTAGCAATTTGAAAACTTAAAAGATATTGCGGAACAAGGTCTTTTGGAGTCAATAAATATTATAAATTAGGCAAAGTTTAATTCATATGTTGAAAGGGAACTGCCAATATACGTGAACTTTCGAGCCGAACTACATAAATTTGTGTGTCTAGTTTGTTTTGCTATTAATTTGAGAGTATGATGCACAAGCATATACCCGGGAAAAAAAAATGGTACAATGATCAGTGATGCAGGCCACCCTATCAGCAACCTTTCAATCGATTTGCAAACTTGCCACAATGAGGATAACACTTACATATGAAAAGAATTAAGGATAAACCTCAAAAACACATCATTGTCCGACTCCATTACCGCTAGGGTAGAGAATTAGTTTGCATAGTTTTGTTTAGGACAATAGTGACAGTAGGAGTTTTAAAGTGGGTATTTAATTTAAGAGTTAATTACCTCTTTGACCAATAAACTATATCATTTGCGGTATTCAAGCCCCTAAACTATTTATATCAATTTAACCCCAAAATCATGCAGTTTGACTCAATGAGGCCTTCAACGGTGAAGATTTCCCTCAGAACTAACAGCGAATTTGGATGGAAATGTCATATTGAATCACATTGTATAGTTCAGGGACTAAATTGACACAAAATATAGTTTAAGGACTTGATTGACACGAATGATATAGTTAAGGGGCCCAAAAGGTAGTTAACTCCTAATTTAAAATGGAGAGATCCCTCCAAAAGAAAAGAGACAAAAGAAGAACATGTCAAAAATGTCTCTCTATTCTGCCCATTGATGACCATTTCACAAAAGACTAAGCCACTCTTGACTCTCAGACTGTTCCATTTGGCATTTTCTCCTCTCTTTTGACAGCTTGATTTGAAGTCAAAACAAGAAAAGAAAATAAACAATGTGTAGTGACTCATATTGGTTCTTGCTTATTTGTTTGCTGCTAGTACAATATCTGGAAAACTTTAAAATGGCCGAGTAATATGCACTTTGTTTTCTTCATTTTTGAACAAGAAATGGATGGTGAGGTGATATTAGTAGCAATTGATGCAAGTAAAGAGATTACAGACTATGCACTCGAATGGGCAGTTCAAAATGTGATCAAAGCTTACGATTCTCTAGTCTTATTGGCAATTCTCCCTTCAGGCAGACGCCCTCCAGCTGCTGGGAATAACAGCAGTCAGATTTACCAATTCTTTTCTCGTACGCTTCTCTAATCTTATCATGATTTGTTCAGTTAAGGTTTTAGATATGTTTATAATGGTAAAGGTTCTAATTTAAAATGTTCTTTACAATTTTAGGCCTAATTGGGAAAAGAGAGATAAAGGATGAAGAGCAGAATTCATCTGATAAAGCAAGCTCTGTCAGTGCACCAAATGTACCCCAGAAAATAAACAATGTGTGTGCACAGATGATGCAGCAACTGTTTTCCATGCACAATGTTGTTCAGGTACATCTTTACTCACGACTAAGCTCTCTTTTTAATTTGTTTTGTTTGACAATTGTTGCTGAATGTGATGAATCGAATGGTCTTAGGTTTCGGCTGAAGTTAAAGTAGTAGCTGATGCACAGATAGGGTCAGTTGCTAAGGCAGCTGAAGGGTTATGCGCATCATGGGTGATTCTTGATCGGTATGCGTTTTCAAGTATATGCACTTCTTATGAACTTTAAAACAAATAGAAGGGTACTAGAGATTTGTATTGTCATGTATAAGAGAGAGTGTGTGTGTGTGATTAGCAATCAAATTTCTCTGCTTGGCAGAGGATATAAGAGAAGAAATCAAACTGTTCAGATTGAAAAAAACACCTCTTTACCCCTGACCCGAATTGTTGTGTTTAATGTCTGACTAATTTCTGCAAACTACAGACGCTTGAAGAAGGAATGCGATCGCTGCCTCAAAGAATTGAATTGCACCATCATACTAGTAGACCATGCCATTCCGAAAATCCTCAGGACTGTTAACTTTACAACAACAATGAAGAAGCTTGATGAGAGAGGAGTCGTAAGCGATCCCACAGTGGCTGACATGCTAGGTGTGCTCCCCACTTACAGTCCAGATAACAAGAGTACCATGACACGAAGCAGTCTCGGGTTTGATAGTCCAAATTTGAATAATGATACTTCATCCTCTTTATCCAGTTCAGAAAATAACCATTTCCAAAAAACCAGCCCTTCAGTGACCAAATTTAAACCGACCAACACCCCTCCCGGTATGAGTATCCACTTTTCTGACCATGATGTGAAAAATGAAGAGAGCTCCAATCCATATGGTAAATCACAACAAAAAGCTCCCAAAACTCCTCCTCGTGTAAGTGTTCGTTTCTCCGACCATGATGTGCAAAATGAAGCAATAAATAGCTCCAATCCATATGGTAAATCACAACAACTGGATAAGTTGCAAAGATTTGACGCTCAACCTGCACGCAAGTCAACGTCCAGTTCAATAAATGAGAAAACCAGAAGCTACAACAGCACTGAAAAAAACTTAACAGGTGAGCAATGCTTATATCTCAACTGTTTGATAAAATGAAACCCCAAGGGTCTGATCGTTGTCAACACTTACTTTTAACAATTGGATAACTTCAAAACAGATGCAAGAAAAAAGAACTTGGGTGCTACAACATTGAAATCACCAGATCCAACAAGGAGAACAACAGATTCTGGGCACTTGTCGGAAAGAAATAAGAGTCTGAATCAATCAGGACAACCAATTACAAGAAGAGAACCCATTCGGAGTATTAGAAATGAAGTTGCTCCACTCCATTCTGCCCCAACAATGGACAGAACCTCGAGCATTAGAAAGGCCATGTCTCTTTCCACCAAAAAACCACCAACACCACCACCACTTTGTTCTGTTTGCAAGCACAATGCCCCTATTTTTGGAAAGGCCCCGAGAATGTTCAGTTACCAAGAGATTGAGAGAGCAACTGATGGATTCTCAAGGGAGAACTTCTTGGCCGAGGGGGGTTATGGTCCTGTATACCGGGGTGTCTTACCTGATGGGCAAGTTGTCGCAGTCAAGCAACATACAAAGTTGAGTGCACAAGGAGCATCCGAATTCTGCTCTGAAGTTGAAGTATTGAGCTGTGCTCAGCACAGGAATTTGGTTATGTTGGTGGGCTATTGCATTGAAACCGCGTGGCTCCTGATATATGAGTTTGCCTGTAACGGTTCCTTAGACAGGCACTTAAATGGTAAGTTCTGAAAAGTAAAAAATAGCCACATTCTTCTATGACACTGATATGTTTCAATGGTATTAATCTGTTTTAGTAAAAAAATTTAGCAACAGTAGTATTGATTGGAACGTCCTGTGAACGATGCAGGAACACAGACGACTGAGGTGTTGGCTTGGGATAATAGGATGAAGGTAGCTGTAGGAGCTGCAAGAGGTTTGAGATATCTTCATGAAGATTGCAGGGTCGGCTGCATTGTGCACAGGGACTTTAGACCATGCAATATACTCATAACTCATGACTTCGAACCCATGGTAAGTCAGGGCTGTTTCAGCTATCACATTCTTTCAACTTGAATAGTATGAATTTGAGTCGAACTTCAGACACAAATTTCGATTCAAAATAGCCACGCGATAAGAATCAAGTAGCCAAGATTCAGCTACCTCGTGCAGACTAGACTTGAGGAAGACCTAAATTTACAATCATAATTTCCTTGTATGATCATAAAACTCATACTTGCAGGTGGGAGATTTTGGTCTTGCAAGGTGGCAAGCAAATGGCCAATCAGCCGAGGAGACACGTGTCATCGGTGCATTCGGGTATTTGCATCCTTTACTCCTCTTATGTGGAAAATTATGATTCCAAATTAGTATTTGATATCTTAGCATCATGGGTTGTAGGTACTTGGCTCCTGAGTACACTCAGACTGGACTGATAACAGAGAAGGCTGATGTATATGCATTTGGAGTTGTTCTGTTGGAGCTCTTAACTGGAACTAAAGCAACTGAATTTTCAAGAAACTCAGGACAACAATTTTTACCATATTGGGCAAGTTTTTTTTTCAGTTTGATATATTCTCTTAATTTCCTCCTACAATGGCAAGAAATTGTCTCATTTTTGTGATTGATTGAATTGCAGAGCCATCTATTTAGAGGGAGGGTGCCACATACTGAATTAATCGACCCACGGCTCAAGAATAATTATGTAGTAGGGGAAGTGGAGTGCATGATGCATGCTGCCAGCTTATGTATCTCACCTCACCCTGAAAAAAGGCCAAGGATGTCCAAGGTTCTTTATTAGCACCAAGTCTATTTGATAAATTTCGACATTCAAACACAATTGCACGATGAGAATTGTGCTGCCTGCAGACAACCACGTTGCCCACATAAACTTCAAGGTCGTGGTTCACGGGCAACATGGTTGCATCGCTGGCCGCACAATCATCATCACAACGACCCGTTCAGAATTTTCTTTTTTATCTTTTTTTTCTTCAATATTATTGTTTAATTCTATGTTCTTGCTATGCAGGTCTTGAAAATATTGGAAGGAGATATGACTAGTGGCATGGGCCATGATCAAGGGCATCCAAATTCTATTTATCCAAATCCAAATCCAAGCTTTAATGGATACACTACAGATAGACAATGGAACCAGAGAGTAGACAGCAGACTGAATATGATGCAGCCAGTTCATCATTTTCGCCTCAGTCCACCCAGACGAAGTGTGCACATAAATAGTGGCCGGACTAGCACATTCCGGCAAACGCCATCCTACAGTGATTACAGGTCGACAAATGGGGATGGAGACTTCTACCAATCCGGCATGCTTCTCAGTGAAGAATTTCAAGAGTATCTGCAAGGAACAATGTCCAAATATGCTCAAAACACGACTGCGAAGCAACGGGATAACTATTTCTGATTTTTGCAAGCTAGAGTGAAGCAAATATCCCATCTTCTTAAATTATCTCTCTGGCATGTACACGAGATCTCGGTGCCTTCTCTCGACAAAAAATCAAAGTTGAATTCAAGGTATTATCATGCCGGATTAGAAAAGTAAACAGATTCATGGTCGGAAAGATGGAACTTCTTATTGCAGTTTCTCTGATAACTCGGGCAAACTAGTTCTGTGCATTGTCACCTTATGAGTGTATCTATGAAATACACTTGATTATTCTGAAACCATTGTTAGTAGACTAGATTTCAATGTTAACTTACAATCAGTCTCTAAGATTGTTACTGCTCTGAGCAATTATGCCAGAAATTTGTATTTGTTAAAATATTTTCAAATAAAAGCATTTTTTGGTGGATTTATATTTAAAAACTTTTTGTGACTTTTGGAAAAAATTGGAAAGGTGCAAAGTAAAAATGACAAGAAAGACTACTAATTCTATTAATTCAAAGCTATTAACTTTTTTGCTAAAGGATCCAAATGGTTTTAATCTTTCATACAGCCACCGTTAGTACATTTTGGTTAAAAATATCATTTCAAATTGCTATAATTTTTCATTAAGCCACATTTGATATCTCTTAAACTACGTGGTTGTACATTTTCAAAAAGGGAAATGTTATTTGTGTCTAAAGGTGGCAAATAGGTGGGTTGGGTTGATTTTGGATTGGATTAAAATAAATTCAATCTATTTTTCACTCACGTAATAAATGAGTTATAATAGATTAAGTTTATAACGGGTTGAGTTAAACCGATTAACTCATAAAATAATTAAAATTCTTAATAGACATATTAGTACACCAAAACACATACATACACATTAGTAGTACACTAAAATATAAATATACACACACTAATACACCAAAACACACACACATACTAATACACTAAAAATATACACACTAATACACTCAAATACACACTAATACACCAAAAATACGCGCACATATATTACCACAAAAATTAAAACACATTTAATAAAAAAAATACACACATAATGGTTGGGTCGATTGTGGACTATGGGTTAGTCCGTGGGTCGTTGGTCAACCCATGGGTCATGGTGACAAGTCAATCATGGATCGTGGGTCAACCCATGGGTCAAGAATCACGAGTCAACTCATGGGTTGTGGTTGGTGTATTAGTGTGTATGTTTTTGGTGTATTAGTGTATATGTGTATATTTTTTAGTGTAATAGTATGTGCTTTTTTTTGGTGTAATAGTGTGTAAATTTTTTGGTATATTAATACATTTATTTAATTTTATTACTTGTGTTATTTAATAAAAAAATAAATACTCAACCTAATGAGTACTCATTTGTAATCTATATTAACCAACTTAATCATATTATCCAACCCAATTAGAACTCATATTAATTAATATAGGTACCCAATTCATTTATTTATAGACCTTGGATAGATTAATATGTAACAGGTTAAGATTACCACCTCTATTTATACCTATAATAATTTTATTTGTTGACATAATGAGTTATAACTATTGAATTGTCAGTGAATTTCAACTAGCGATGGGGTCCTCTAAAGATAAAAAATGATAAAGCTACTAAATAAGATACTTTTTGACAAAAAAGGGCATCATTTTTTAAAAGCTAGTAATGAATCTATATAAATAAGTAATGTCTTATACTCCAAAAATATAGCATTTTGAACAATTTTATACTTTCTACTAGGTTTGCTCTCTCATTCTTCTTTCTCTTCATTCTCCCAAGTTCGCATACATCTACTTTTTTCTTTTCAATCTAGCATTCTAGTTTCTACAGTGTTAAAATACTACAAGTTAACTATTGGATTTCATTAAAATATTTGGGTACTATTTTTGTAAGTGTAATACGCAAATTGGTTTGAAAAACTTCATTGTATCTTAAGAACATATTTATAAATTTCAGTGCACACCTTTTTAAGTAACTAGTGAGGACAATATTATATTCAAGAAAACATTTTCGTACACGGCATGAAACAATTTTCAGTATTACAATATGATTCCACTTGGAATATGTGAAAGGGATACTCAAACTCAAAGTAGAGTCCCGTATATATAGCCAAAAATAATACAGAGTGACTTAAACATCCTTGTAGTTTAGGCAAAATATAAAAATCATAGTAAGGGTAAAAAAAGGAAAAGAAATCCTAATAAACCTAGACTACTATCTATACTCCAACACTCCCCCTCAAGCTAGGCGCAAAAATGTCAACTAAGCCAAGCTTGACAACGGAGTCCCGAAGAATAGACAGAGTGACAGGTTTGGTAAAAACATCCGCAACTTGATCACTGGTCCCCACAAACGATGGAGTAACAAGACCACTGCTGACCTTCTCCCGAAGAAAGTGAACATCGATCTTTATATGCTTCGTTCTCTCATGTAGTACAGAGTCAGAAGCGAGCTGAATAGCAGATTGATTATCACAATATAATGTGGATGGAGAGGTCACTGAAAAACCCAACTCGTCAAGAATCGATCGTAGCCAGATAATCTCACATGTGCCAAGTGCCAATGCCCGATACTCTGCCTCTGCAGACGAGCGGGAGACAACTGCCTGCTTCTTGCTCTTCCAAGAGATAAGATGAGTCCCTCGAAAAGCACAGAAACCCGTAGTAGATCGACCATCACATGCTCCCCCATAATCTGAATCTTAATAACAGGCTAGAGAACCGGTCTGAGATCCTGATGCATAAAACAACCCAAGTCCAGGACAAGACTTGAGGTACCGAAGAATATGATAAACTGCATCAAGATGAGGCTGACATGGCCTATGCATGAACTGACTAACTCGGCTGACTGCGAATAAAATGTCCGGCCTAGTATTGGCTAAGTAGATAAGTCTACCTACCAATCTTTGATAAACTGTCGGATCTTTCAACTCCTCACCTTCAGCAGTAAGCTTCAGGTTTGGAATCATAGGTGATGATGCCGGTTTGTACCCCAACATCCCAGTGTCTGAAAGAAGATCCAAAACATACTTTCTCTGAGAAAGAACAATACCTCTGCTTCTACGGGCAACCTCAATCCCAAGAAAGTATCGCAGAAATCCAAGATCCTTCACATCGAAGGCCTTCCCAAGGTCTATCTTGACCTGCGCAGTCCCAGAAACATCATCACCAGTAATAATAATATCATCAACATATACCAGAAGGATGACACACTGTCCAGAGGTATTCCGTCGAATAAAGCAGGTATGATCAGAATGACACCTGGTGAACCCCAATCGTATGACTACATCACTGAAGCGAGAGAACCAGGCTCGTGGCGACTGTTTCAGTCCATAAAGAGACTTACGCAGTCGACATACCTTTCCAGCATACTCCCCCTCACCACGAAAGCCCGGTGGTGCATCCATATAAATAATCTCGTCCAGATCACCGTGAAGAAACGCATTCTTCACATCTAATTGATGAAGAGGCCAAGAGTACTCCGCAGCCAGAGAAATAATTAACCGAACAGTAGTCAATTTTGCCACGGGGGCAAATGTAGCACCAAAGTCACGACCTGGTACCTGAGTAAAGCCCTTCGCCACAAGTCTAGCCTTGTAACGATCAATAGTACCATCTGCCAGAAACTTCAGGGTGTAAACCCAGCGACAGCCAACAGGCTTCACCCCTGAAGGTAAGGAGACAAGATCTCATGTATGATTACGCTGAAGAGCGTCCATCTCTGTCTGCATGGCAAGAACCCACTGGGGCTCCCGCATAGCTTCCGAAATAGAGCGAGGAACCAGCGTATCTGATAAGGCCATAGTATAAGCTCGAAATGTGGGAGACAGATTACCATAAGAAACATAAGCAGAGATCGGATATAAAATCTTGGCGGTCCAACCATATCGATCAACTGGACGGCGATCACGCCTTGGATAACGACGCCCTAAATCACCATCCTCTACTGATAATATCTTATCAGGTAAAGTAACTGGCTCAGCACCTGTAATCTCATCAGTACTAACAACAGGTGCATCAATATGCTCAACAAACTGAGAAGTATTACCTGCATCGCCTGAGGTAGAGGGGATATCAGCAGGGTGATGAGAGCGAGGACAACGAGCATACACCTGCAAAGGAAGAGAGACTGGTAACTCTGTACTGACAGGGATGAGTGACTCCTTGGGAGGAAAAATGGATGACCCTGTAGGGATAGTGATCAATGACTCTGACTCTTGTGGTAATGGGAAGTCAAAGGGAGTATCATCAACTGGAGGGGCAGACAAAGGACTGAAAGGAAAAAAAGGAATATGCTCAAGAAAGGTAACATCTAGACTGTGATACATACGACGCCTAATAGGATCATAACAGCGATACCCCTTAGATTGATGACAATAGCCCACAAAGATACAACGAATCGCTTTATCATCAAGTTTATGACGAGTAGGAGACCGATCCTAAACAAAACATGTGCATCCAAAAACACGAGGGGGGACCGGAAAAAGTGTCCGCTCAGGAAATAAGACCTGTAAGGGAGCCTTATGCTGAAGAACACGACTCGGCGTACGATTGCACAGAAAGGTAGAAGTCAAAACAGCAAAATGCCAATAAGATTTTGGTACTCTCATGCCTCTAAGCAGACAACGTACCATCCCTATCAAACTCCTATTTTTCCTCTCAGCAATACCATTTTGCTCAGGAGTATATGGACAAGTGAGTTGCTGAAGGATACCCTGAGAAGAAAGGTGAGACACTAAAGCATCAGACACATATTCTTTGGCATTATCCGAACGAAGAGCACGAACAATGACATCGAATTGTGTCTTAATCATCTGTAAAAACTGAGTGATTATAGGGAGCACATCAGACTTCCTATGCAAAAGGTAGACCCAAGTACAACGGGTATGATCATCTATAAATGTCACATAATATCTGGCACCTGACAGAGCAGTAACGGGAGAGGGTCCCCAAATATCAGAGTGTATTAGGTCAAATGGCTTGGGTGACTGGTGCATGCGAGGAATATAATTGGCCCTAACATGTTTTGATAGGGAACAGATAACGCAATCAAGTTTACCACCAACACAAGCATTACTCAAAGCAGGAAACAACATACATAAATATTTAAAATTTGTATGTCCAAAACGGTCATGCCACAATTGAACAGTTTGTGGCGAAAAATCATAACGACAACTACTAGGTAAAATACTAGCATGCAAGCTAGGAACAGAAAAAGACAAAGCAGGTGCAGGTGAAGGAATTGGTGAAACTGGAGATGGATTGCCAAGATAATACAGTCCATCTTTCTCATGTCCCTTGATAATAATCCTCCTGGTACTCAGGTCCTGCAAATAACACGAATCAGAT